AAGCTCAGGTAACCTCGCTGACACCTGACCCAAAGGACCAATAAGGGGACAAGATACTTTCAAATCTGGGGGGGGGGGGGGGAGGTGGGAAAAGGCTTTTGTTTGTGCTCTTTGTTTTGGGGGGTTGTTCGCTCTTGGGACTAAGAGGGACCAGACATCAATCCAGGTTCTCCCCATCTTTCTAAACAAGTCTCTCCTATTTCAAACTTGTAAGTAACAGCCAGGCAAGGCATGTTACGTTTATCTTTGTTTTCTCAACTTGTAAATGTTCCTTTTTGCTAGAGAGTTTACTTCTGTTTGCTGTAACTTTGAACCTAAGGCTAGAGGGGATTCCTCTGGGCTCTTTGAATCTGTTTACCCTGTAAAGTTATTTTCCATCCTGATTTTACAGAGATGATTTTTATCTTTCTTTCTTTAATTAAAAGCCTTCTTTTTAAGAACCTGATTGATTTTTCCTTGTTTTAAGATCCAAGGGTATTGGATCTGGACTCACCAGGAATTGGTGGGGGAAAGAAGGGGGAATGATTAATTCCTCCTTGTTTTAAAATCCAAGGGGTTTGGATCGGTGTTCACCAGGGAATTGGTGGAGGAGTCTCTCAAGGCTACCCAGGGAGGGAAAGGTTTTGGGGGGGAAGACAGAGTTTCCCAAATGACTCAAACTATTTGGGTGGTGGCAGCAAAAGCAGATCAAAGCTGGTAATTCAGTTTAGAGGTTCACATGCAGGTCCCCATATCTGTACTCTAAAGTTCAGAGTGGGGAAGGAACCTGACAGACCCCTAAATCCTTTTCAGAGTCGCAGCTTTCCAGGACACGGGCCCAGTCTGTAGGCATGGCCAGCATTTCTTGTTCCTAGCTATATAACTTTGCATTTGGCTGTATTACGAGGCATTTTGTCTGAGTGGGCCCAGCTTATCAAGCGATCAAGATCGCTCTGTATGACTGCCCTGTCCTCGTCACTATACACCACTCCACCAACCTCTGTGTCATTCACAAATTGTATCAGCAGTGATTTCACGTTTTACTCCCAGATCATTGATGGAGATGGTGAGTAGCATCAGGCCTAAAATTGATCCATGTGGCACGTCACTAGAAACACTCACATGCAATGTTGATTCACCACTGACAACAGCTGTCTGAGATCTGTCGGTTAGCCACTCCTTAATCCATTGAACATGTGCTCTATCGAGCCGTACAGTGCTAATTTTGTAATCAGAATGTCCCGTTGTACTAAGTCAAACGCTGTACAAAAGTCTAAGTATATTACATCTACGCAGTCGTCTTCATCAACCAAACTTGTAATCGCATCCTAGAACTAAATCCGGTTTGTTGGACCAGACCGATGCTCCATAAAACCACGCTAGCTGGCATGAATTACATTCCTATCCTTTAAGCCTTAATTAGTTGAATCCTGTATTGGTTTTTCTGTTATTTTGCTTAGAACTGATAGACTAGCCGGCCTACATGTGTCCATGTCATGCCACTTGCCCCGTTTGACTACTAGCACAACATTAGCATCCACTCTTCTGGAGTGTTCCTTGTATTCCAATATTGATTAAAAATTAACATCTGCGGGACAGAGAGCTCCTCAGTGAACTCTTTTAGGAGTGCAAGTTATCTGGACCTGCTGGTTTGAAAATGTTTCTCCCTAGTAGAAGTTATCCAATATCCTGCTCAGTTACTAGTGAATGGAAAATACTTCATCATCCTCATGTGATACGATTAGATCATCCTGCATCTTTACAAACTCAGACCAGAAACAGTTACTGAACACGTCTGCCTTTCCACAGAATCACAGACCCACAGGGCTAGACGGGACCACAAGGGTCATCTAGTACACCCCCCGTCAAGACACAGGATGTGCTGTGTCTAAACCATCCGAGACAGGTGGCTCTTCAGCCTCCTCCTAAAACCCTCCAGTGAAGGAGCTGGCGTCTGGTCCGTTGTCCTACTGCTCTGACAGACAGGAAATTTCTCCTGAGATTTAACGATTTTCTGCATCATTAACAACAATTTAATAGCATCACAGAGTTTAAGCTGAAAACGGCCACCAGCTCGCTCAGTCTGACCCCTTGTGTATCACAGGCCATTACAACGCCCAGATACCCCCATGATGTGGCACAAAGCGTCCCTGGAGGGGAGGTAAATCTGCACCGGAGTAGCCGCCTCCTGCACCCCCTTGCCCCTGCCGTGTCAGGAAGGGGGAAGGGCATGTCAACCACGTGGTGGAGCTGACCCCCACGGTGTGACATCTTCTGCCAGCACCAGCTCCATTATGGAGCTCACGCCGATGGCAACCTTTCCAGTAG